TAAAAACTAGTTTTTAAACTTTTGTTTTGCTTATAAATTTTTTTTAAACTTTCCTAAACTTTCTTAAAACTTTTTTACAGATTTAACATTTTTCTAAGCTTTTTTTTTTACCGTTAACCCCTAACTAGCAGCACGCAGCACTAACAGTAAATTCCCCATTTTCCCATAACTCCCACCCACCCCAGCTAGCAAAATATATAGTTATAAAATATTTAAATTAATTAAATAAATTGAACCCCTGAGGGTTAAAAAAATAAATAAAAGTTAATCCACAGGGGTTAAAAAATTAGATCACAGTATAATACTGTGATCTCTATTTGATCGCTGTAGGCAGTGATCGACTGGCAGGGAAGGGGTTAATTTTTATTTGGACTAGGTAAAGTGTGTTTTTTTGTTTTTTTTTACTTAAATGTTATTAAAAAAAAATTTTAAGCTTAATTTTTAACTTTTTAAAGTTTCTTTTAAAACTTTTTTTTAACGTTAACCCCTAGTTAGCCTAACGTCAAATCCCCCAATTCCCCACTAACTTCCATCTACCCCAGCTATCTAAATATATAATTTAAAAATAATTTAATTTAATTTAACCCCTGAGGGTTAAAAAAAAAAAAAAAAAATTAACCCTCAGGGGTTAAAAAAAAAAATCAGATCATAGTAAAATGTAATCCCTGCCAATTGATCACTGTAGTCAGTGATCAATTGGCAGGGAAGGGGTTAATTTTTTATTAAAATGGGTAAGAGGGGGGGGACTTTAAATAAAATTTATTTTTTTAAACAGCAGGGGGCAAGATCAGCACTGATCCGGCTCCCTGCACTTCACACAGAACCCGGAAGTGCAGGGAGCCGGAAGGTAAGTATACAGAGCACATGTGCTCGCTCTGACTTGCGGTCAGAGCGAGCACATGTGCTGGGCAGCCTGACCGGGTGCTCCCGGTATGCCTCTAATGCAGAGGCATACCGGGAGCACCATTAACCCCGTCACCCGTCCTGAAGGGGTTAATATAGTGGCACAAAAAAATTTTAAATGAGAAACTGTCAGTTCCCAGGATTTCTAATATTGACCTCAATTGAAAATTGTTGGATAATCTTTAGAAATTATTTAATATTCTTGGATAAACATTTAAGATTATTTACATTATGAACCATTTACAGGGAGTGCAGAATTATTAGGCAAGTTGTATTTTTGAGGATTAATTTTATTATTGAACAACAACCATGTTCTCAATGAACCCAAAAAACTCATTAATATCAAAGCTGAATATTTTGGAAGTAGTTTTTAGTTTGTTTTTAGTTTTAGCTATGTTAGGGGGATATCTGTGTGTGCAGGTGACTATTACTGTGCATAATTATTAGGCAACTTAACAAAAACAAATATATACCCATTTCAATTATTTATTATTACCAGTGAAACCAATATAACATCTCAACATTCACAAATATACATTTCTGACATTCAAAAACAAAACAAAAACAAATCAGTGACCAATATAGCCACCTTTCTTTGCAAGGACACTCAAAAGCCTGCCATCCATGGATTCTGTCAGTGTTTTGATCTGTTCACCATCAACATTGCGTGCAGCAGCAACCACAGCCTCCCAGACACTGTCCAGAGAGGTGTACTGTTTTCCCTCCTTGTAAATCTCACATTTGATGATGGACCACAGGTTCTCAATGGGGTTCAGATCTTGAAGGATGCAGACTTCTTCCTGTACCACTGCTTGAAGAAGGTGTCTTCAAGGAACTGGTAGTAGGACTGGGAGTTGAGCTTGACTCCATCCTCAACCCGAAAAGGCCCCACAAGCTCATCTTTGATGATACCAGCCCAAACCAGTACTCCACCTCCACCTTGCTGGCGTCTGAGTCGGACTGGAGCTCTCTGCCCTTTACCAATCCAGCCACGGGCCCATCCATCTGGCCCATCAAGACTCACTCTCATTTCATCAGTCCATAAAACCTTAGAAAAATCAGTCTTGAGATATTTCTTGGCCCAGTCTTGACGTTTCAGCTTGTGTGTCTTGTTCAGTGGTGGTCGTCTTTCAGCCTTTCTTACCTTGGCCATGTCTCTGAGTATTGCACACCTTGTGCTTTTGGGCACTCCAGTGATGTTGCAGCTCTGAAATATGGCCAAACTGGTGGCAAGTGGCATCGTGGCAGCTGCACGCTTGACTTTTCTCAGTTCATGGGCAGTTATTTTGCGCCTTGGTTTTTCCACACGCTTCTTGCGACCCTGTTGACTATTTTGAATGAAACGCTTGATTGTTCGATGATCACGCTTCAGAAGCTTTGCAATTTTAAGAGTGCTGCATCCCTCTGCAAGATATCTCACTATTTTTGACTTTTCTGAGCCTGTCAAGTCCTTCTTTTGACCCATTTTGCCAAAGGAAAGGAAGTTGCCTAATAATTATGCACACCTGATATAGGGTGTTGATGTCATTAGACCACACCCCTTCTCATTACAGAGATGCACATCACCTAATATGCTTAATTGGTAGTAGGCTTTCGAGCCTATACAGCTTGGAGTAAGACAACATGCATAAAGAGGATGATGTGGTCAAAATACTCATTTGCCTAATAATTCTGCACTCTCTGTATATTTTGATATTTTGATATATAGGAGTTCTATCTCCTTGCACATGGCAGTCAGTATAACATGCAAAGAAGAGAAGAAATTAAACAATGTTTATATTTTTCCACACTATTGCCCTGACCTCTCCAACTTTAAGGAGCACTCCAAGCACAATTTTAGCTACAAACAAATATTACCATCTATACCTGTAATTTGCCACTGTGATTTTCTGTATATGAAAAAAATTGTTAGGGCTAGAATAGAATTTTCTCTATGGGTACATTAGTAAGCAGATCTGATTCAGTATCTTTAAAAGTTTTATGTTGCCTTGATAGACAGTTGTATATCAAAACCAGAAAATGAAAGGAACACTATCAAGTCAGGAATGCATGTCCCTAGAGTGTTAAAATTACCATCTATCCCCCCTGCATCCCTCCCTGCCTTGCCTTCCTAGAAATGGTAAAAGCGTACTTTTATTCCAGTCTGCTGGTGTTGGCTCTGCCCCGATCAGCCTCCTTGGCTGACATAATCAGAAGTGATGATCTCAGCCAATCATAATGCATTCTCATAGGAAAGCATTGGATTTGTTGAGATTGTCAATGTTCTCGGCCAAGGAGGTGTGTTCGGGGGTGGAGCCAAATGCCACCCTGGCCCATCAGCATTTCCTTATAGAGTTGCATTGATGTCTATGAGGAAACTTCAGTGTCCCCATGCACACTGTGCAGCACTGCCCTAGGAAGCACTACTAGTAGCAATCTGAGGAGTTGTCACTGGAGGTGTCTTTAGGCAGTAATCTAAACACTGCCATTTCTTTGAAAAGACAGTGCTTACTGCAAAAAGCCTGCAGAGACTGACTATAATCACCAGAACAACTACATTAAGCTGTAGTTGGTCTGGTGATTACAGTGTCACTTTAAGTAATCTAAAAATTGAAAAAGAAAGTGTCATTTCCACAGTTAGAGAGAATAAACGTATAGGAAAAGAGAGCCACATGCTTGTGCATAATAAGAAATAAAAATACTTACCACAAATCTCAAATTAGAATGGTAAAATAGCAAAATTAGAAAAATAAAGATGGTGAAAAAGTATTGGTGTAGATGCAACCAGCTGCTTTATTCTGCTTATTTTTATTTATTTAGTTTTATTTTAAAATGTTATTTTATTAACTGTTTGTATACAGGCATATATCATGACATTGCATTAAATACATACATACCAACACGTGATACGTGGAGATATGCATACATAGTTGTAAACAGTAAATATGACATAATCTCATGGATGGATTGAATCAGATCTCTATTTGGATACAGAGAATGAATAAAAGTTGCAAAATAATATATGTCAGAGGAACAACAGGCATGTAAACAAGGTATAAAACAAAAAGTACAAAAAGTAACACATTGTTGATACTAGTAAGTTAATAGGTTATTTGTGTTTTATCCATTTGTACATAGTATCGACGTGTGCATCAATTCTCTATTGATAAGGGTAGTCAATCCTAATCCGCTACACATGTCCACTCTGATCCTCCAGTACTTACAGCAGGTATTGGGTGTCTAGTCTCATTGAATTCCCTCCATTTATGACATATCTCTACATGCTTGGATTGTCTGTTGGAAGCAAGGGAAAAGGCATCCTCCGTACATCTAAGGTCTTCAACTACATTAACCCATGTGTGGTAAGTCTGTGGGTTTGTGCATCACCACAAAGAGTAGATAAGTGATTTGGGTTCTACAAGCATAGGGATAAGATCAGATTTCCTGATGGCTGAGATTGGTTGTGCGAGATGGAATAGCAGAGCCTATTAGATTGTGTATCATGTCAAGAACCTCCCTCCAGTAAATAATTATAAGCAGGGCCAGATTAAGAGCACAGTGGACCTGGTGCTGACAATTATGATGGGGCCTAATTACTGAATTGTTACGGTCCCCGGTGCGACCGCACCAACGAACTGAGCTTACCTGCTCAGCGGCGAGTCGGGAGCCGCACTGCTGGGTTCTCCTGGCCGTCTGACCGGATTCAAGATGGTGTCGACCACATGGTCGGGGCCAGATATAGCTCTGCCCCCAGGGTCACACGCACACGCACATGAGGCCAGTGGGATATTTAACCTAGGTTATTGCCCTGTCGTGGTTTCCGTTCCTGGTTCCTGAGGGTGCATTTTCTTGTGCGTCCTGTTTTTGATATTCCCGGTATTTTGACCTTGGCTATTCCTGACTATTCTGATTTCTGGCTTCCCTGACTTGCTTTTTAAATGGTATTGTATATTTCTGGCTTCCTTGACCTCGGCTATCCCTTGACTATTCTCTTTTAACGTATTAGTCTGGCTATTCTAAGGACCGGTTTAAGTTTTATAATTTTCTGTTCTGTCTATGTAGATGTTACATAGTTCTTGGTGCTGGACCACACTAGCAGTCATGACAAGAATCTTATCGACCATAAACACTAAAACAGTCATACATCTGATGGAGATGGTGTTGGAGGGAAACTCAAAGGATGCAGCTTTGAGAAAACACATACTCTATGCTAATCTCTCTCTAATTTATGCTTTCATCTTTCAAGTAAATCCATACTCCCTAACAGCAGTGTCCAGTTGTTACGGCACCCTCAGCATAAAAGGGTTACACCGCCGTTTAGAAGATCTTCCCCTTCCAGAGATGCAGGCTCAGCTACTGCAGAACATCAATCCGCCGAACAGGAAACCATACAAATGCTGTAAACAGCCGAATAGGAAAAACCATACGAATAGGTTTACACTCCTAGCAGTCAAACTGGAACAGCATACAATAAATCCCCCCAAGAATGAGACAAAGCTCTGTGTTGAGGGTCAAGCAGTGAACAGACAGAGCTGTGGGTTTATTGTGCTTATGTACACATTCTTACACATTAGTACCACCCACAGGGTTTTGGAACAAAACCAATAAACACATACAATACACTCAGACACTCCCACACAAATTCCTCCCCTCTGCCTGTGATACAATTACCTTACACAATGGGTAATGTAATTATCACAAGCAGAGAAATACAATTTTTCCACATTATTCATAACTTGAAAAGTATGCATCACATTCACAGCATACTCCAGATACAAACATATGTCAAAATCATCCAAAGTGGTCCAGTGGTTCAAAAGATAGATCGTAGTCCTTTGTGACCAAAGGAAGCATGGCTTTTCTGCCCAAAACCAGTTCCACAGAGTCTCCTATCCTGGAGATAATTGGGAAGTAATCCAATTATCTCCAAGGACAGAGGCAAAACTCCATTGAACACATGGCAGCAAAAGACAATAAAACACATAAAAACATATAACTGTGCAGCCATTGCACAAAACAGGTACATTCAACATATCCCCAGATAGCTCAGATCTGAGCGCACATTATTACTGAATGGCGCTCAGAGCACACACATACAGTTCAATTGCCATGGAGCCAAAGTCTTTCCCATAGTCTTTCATTATACGAATGGGCTCCATGGCATAGCTATCTGGGATATCACCGCTCAAACAGGGCAAGCACCGAATGACCCGGCTTTCGTCTCTTCGCAGGGGAAAAGCAAGCGTTTCAACATGGGGCCATAGTCCAAAGGTAACAGGCGAGCAACCAGGCTTCTCCAATGCAATGTGGCGAGATTGGTCTCGTCACAGTATATACAGAGAGATAAGTAATAGGGATATAACCAATTAAATCCACCTCTCTAGGGTTACCAGAGGTCTGTGGCAAGGGTATCCCTAGTCTCTAGACCTTCAGCCTCATGTAAATGGATATTCTATGCTTTAAAAAAAAAATTCCCTTAAGTTCTCAAATAGCTGTCTAAATACCAAGTGATATCCTCAATAGCTAATGATTGGTAATTAAGCATGCCACATTAACTCCACAGGATACAAATGTAACGATATGAGAACTAACAGAAAAAGAAGCAATCTCCACCTTTGTGTTTATAAGCCCTCATGGAAATGTATATAACACTGGCTACAACAGAGCCTAGTGTAATCATTCAGAGGCAAAAGTCAAACAAACCTCATAGCTCTAACAAATGTGAGTGTGATCCTACATACCCTTGTTGTGTGTCCTACACTAAGTATTTGACTGTTTGCACTTTTATTGATTTTTTTTTATTGATTTTTTTTTACACATACTCATCACCAACTGATGGTTCAAGCTAGGATCTTCCAAATATTTATTTTGTTGGGACATTATACCCACATTATTCAGTGCAACCTGTTTCTTAGTGTTTATTGATTTGCTTCTTGTCAGTAAGGTGTTGGCAGGATTCCTTACATTAAGTGTTTGCAGCTTATTTCACTGTTTATAATAATTGATTTATTAGCGCTTATCCTATCTTTCAAATTTGCTGTTTCATTTAAGTGTCTAACTGTCATTGGCTAATGAATTTGACCCAAGTGGTTACCTGCCCATGCGACTAGGTGCCCCCTGGCACACGATGGGAATGCAACCCTTGAGATTGGGATAGTAATGCCCTTGGCCAGTCCTGCATGCCTGTGACGGACCCTCCGTCAATCAAAGCTCCTAGTGCTCACCAAGGACCATCAGCACCCCACCCGACACCATAAGTACTGCAGACCCCATGAACCGCCGCTGCTTGGTTGGGGTCTTGCTGTCTCCTACCCACCCTGGACCTACGACGAGGCTCCAGGTCCCAGTGGGTTAACCTCTCTTCCTCACAGAGAGTGCAGCAGGAACAGGAACAAGCTCTTACAAGAGATTAGTGATTATTCAAGGGAGTATGAAGAGCATTATATCTGTCCCCTCCAAACACGAGTTAAGGCTACAAGTTGAGGGTCAAGTAGAACTGGTTTAATGAGCACAAAGGCATTTCTTATATACAGTTTTTCCCACAAGGTTACCACTCACGTGGACCTTGTGGAGCACAGGACACAAAGTCACAACAGCCAATCAACACAGTATTGTACAGTTAGATACACCCAGGTAATGTACACAAACCCTCCCCTCTGCCTGTGATACAATTACCAAACACAATGGACTAACTCAATTACCATAGGCAGAAAATATCCAGTTTCACCCAAAGTCCCGAAACATCCCAAAACAACGACATATCACCTACATCCCTGGACAGTCCTGATCTGGGTGAACAACATATCTAAAAATCACCCAAATCAGAGCAGGGGTTCAAAAGTTTTATGGAAGTCACATTTGACCAACTGCCTTCATGCCCAAAACAGTTCCGGTGACCAGGACCCCTGAGTGCCTGATGATGAGATGGGAGTCTTCAGTGTGGAAGTGGATTAGCAGGGTCTGGTGCAGGGTAACCACACGCCCCCTGGTGTTGAGCACCAGTGTTTGTGCAGCCACATACCAAGACCCTGAACCATAATAAAGCACATACAGCACTTACCTGCAAGAAAAGGCAGAGAACTTGAGCAACTGCCTGCAGGAACAAACTGAAACAGAAGGATTCATGGAAAAGGAACGGGTGTGGCAACATAAAACAAACATCTAAAGCAATCCAAGAGACTGGGAATTCCAGGAACAGAATACAGGAATGAACCCAGAAAATCCAGCATAAAGAAAACCAGACATATAATAGAAAACCAGAAGACCCAAGAAAAACTAAGCAAGAATTGTAAAAAGAGTACTGGATACCAGAAGCCATTGCCAGAATGATCCGTAGGTAGGAACAGGATGCGACACACAGATTTAGGCTGTGCGGCCGGTCTATCATCTCCTCTATCCTGGAGATAATTGGCTTAAGTGGCTGTGGTAACCTAATTATCTCCAGTAACAGGAAATATCTCTAAGTCAAAAACAACATAAAAATACATAACTCTTATAATACAATGTTTAACCTATATGTCCAACATATCCCCAGATAGCTTGGATCTGAGCGCTCAATATATCCGAAAAGTGCTCAGATCTCACAAATACAGTTGGATCGCCATGGGGTTAAACAATAGCAAGGGTTGATGAGAGATTGAGGAGGGACAAAGCAGCCAGTTTCAACTTGTCTGGCAGTATCCCCGAGACAACGCCCTGCTGGAGAAACAATAGGACAGGAGGGGAAGAGGCACATTTTCCCATGGATTTAAAGGGGCAGAAAAAGTTTTTAAAATCCAATAAGCCCAAATAGACTTTTTAAATGGCAATACACCCCAGGGGCCATAGTCACAGGGCAAGAGGCTGGCAAGCAGGCCTCTCCAAAAGTCAGTGGCGAAGTGTAGTTCGTCACACCAACATTTCAGACCTCGTCCAGGGCTTTCTTCGGGATGAACTGACAACACAAAACTAACAAACAGTTTTGTATTATATAGCCCATAAGAAAAGAAATTAACTCACCCCAGGTGAATGTGATAGGAGTATCCGGATCATGTGCACATGTGCGTGCGTGTTCTATCCGGAAATGGTGAGAACGTACGTAGCCTGGTTACTATGGTTACATACTGACGCCCAATATGCCGTGGTAACATTGAAACATAAACAAAGTGTATAAAGGATATAAAGTATCTATGAGAATCAAGTGTGCAAGAGATGTTAAAGAGCCCAAATATATGTGCATGTTGAAGACCTCATGTTACGATTGCCCCCGGTCTCGCAGGAGGGTTGATCGCTTGGATGTGCTGGTTCCCAAAGTCAGAGAGTCGAACGTGGTTCCATTCGGTAGAATCTGCATGTGTAGAATATCCCACTAGCTGTAAGAGGACTAATATTCCCCGATCCCTACTACACGAGTCTAGGCTGCGAGTTGAGGGTCAAAACGAACTGGCTTTACTGGCACACAAGCATGGCAATTTATGCAAGTCCCCAGGTCCAGGGACAGCCCCCTCTGGACCTGATGGGATACAGGTACATTACAAGTATTCAACCAATCCCCATACAGTGTATCATACAAACTAGAACCCACCCAGCTTGGAGATAATGAAGCCAACGGTTATACAATCTAATTATCTCCAAGCGCCCAAAACGACCATGCTTTATTATGTCCCGGAAAACAGCATAAAAATATATAATTCAGGCATTATCCAGTGAATATAGTCCTTTTACATTTCGTTCGGTAGCTCTGTGTTGGATTCATTAGGTGTGCGAATAGCGCCCAGTTCCCACGAACAGAACAGGAGATTTCTACCATATGAAATCCTGTTCGGTAGTTGGTTTCCAAGCCCTCGATGACGGCCATGTTTTTGGGTCCGTCAATGGCCAGTGGGACCTCGATGTTGCACTCATGGAGCGAAGGCCGGGTACAGCATCATGCGAATCCCCGCTCCCCGTCTGGTTGTCCCGTCCGTTTGCGGTACGAATGGAGCCCGCCCAGGAGAGGCACTTAACCTGCAGACCGCAATGCCGGAGGGCAGGTTGATAAGCGGCACACTCCGCTTGCAGGGTGGCCGGCTATTCGGTACTTTGCAGGGTGATGGGGTTAAGTGGCGGCACATGCCAGGGGCTGGGTGGTCGGCCGTTCGGTACTTTGAGGGGTGACGGGGTTAAGTGGCGGCAAAGCCTAGGGCTGGGTGGTTGGTCGTTCGCATTGACGAATGAGGCTTTATAATAGTTCGTCTGCTCTGTTCGCCTGGTCTGAATGCCGTTAAATAGAGTCTTAGTAAGCAAAAACAGGGAATAACAATATAACAAGTCTGTGTAACGGAGTCTTTGTAACACCTCATATAGAGGAAAAAATGGGCGAGACTAAAGGTTCGTCCATAAATAACTAAATGCACCAAATGCTATAAAGCAGAAATAACAAAGAAATTTAAAATAAGAGTGGATAAAGTGCAATAAAGTATAAAGTGCTGCATGTAACGGATCATCTGCTACCCCGACTGGGTACCTCCATTGATGGATGCTCCTAGTGCTTCCCGAGGGTTCCAAGCACTCCACTTGACACCATAAGCACCGCAGACCCTATGAACCGCCACAGCTTGGTTGGGGTCTCGCCGTCTCCTACCCACCCTGGACCTACGACAAGGCCCCAGGTTCCAGTTGGTGAACCTCTCTTTCCCCAGAGAGTGAATCAGGAACAGGAACAAGCTCTTACAAGAGCTTAGTGATTATTCAAGGGAGTATAAAGAGAATAGCAATCCCTTGTAGCAGATTCCCCCAATAAAAGACATGACTCTAGATTGAGGGTGAAGTAGAACTGGTTTAATGAGTATTTCTTTTATGCACCTTTTCAGGCCAGAGGCACACCCCCTGGACCTGATGGTAAACTGGGACAAAAGGGACACAAACCAATAAGAACAATAATTAATACAGCAACACTCTCACATACAGTCAGCACGCCTTCCCCTCTGCCTGTGATACAATTAAGCTAGCTAATGAAATTAATCCACAGGCAGAAAATATCCCTTTTTCCCCAAAGTCCAGAAACACCCCAAAACTTAAACACATCCCCATAAATACATCCCTGGATAGCTCTGATCTGTGCGAACAACATATCCAAAAATCCCCAAGATCAGAGCAGGGGTTCACGAATTCTATGGAAGTCATATTTGACTGACCGCAAGCATGGCTTTCATGCCCAAAATAGTTCCACAGATTTAGGCTGTGCGGCCGGTCTATCTTAGCCTTCACA